TTTTAAGCACCGAAAGTTAATCTTAAAAGTTTTATTACAATTTGCTGGAGTTTGCTAAAATTTTTGGAGTTTTTTTAATTCGAATATTTACTTCGTAAATTAATATTTTTAAATAATATTTACTATATTACTATAGAAAATATTTTATTTTTTATTTTTTTTGAGAATATTTTTAAGAATTTTTCGATAAAATTCAGTTTAACAAAAGGCTTTTTATTTCAAATTCATTTCCAATCTTTTTTTATCGATTAGAGAAGGCTTGCTAAAATTTGCTAAATTTTGCTAAAATTTGAAGAATATGTGTATTAATTTTCTATTTTATTTAAAAATCTTTTTAACTGTTCATTGGGGTTTTAAAATTTTTTTTAGGAACTCTGTCGTTTATGACCTTCGTTCTCGTAAAGTCCAGTCGCATCAACTGGCAACTGAAAAGAAGCAACTCGCTGTTCCTAATTTACAGCTGGTCATATCTTCATGGATTCACCTTTATAAAAACTCATTGTTAGTGGTTTATGAAATTTTAAGCGCTCCTTTAATTTCTCGTATTATCACAACGTGCTTACCAATAAAAGAAGAATTCACAAGGTCTTTATTCAATTTTAACTCGCAAGTGATTTTTTCGTTATTGATATTTTTAGAAATTTTTTTCGTCAATAACATGAGAATTGCAGTTTTATTATAGTTTTAGTCGTGCAAGTGGTAATGATTCAGAGAGATCTATTTTATTGCTGCCTATGTATTGGGCTATGGCTTCAGTTTCCAGTTTCTTCTCACTTTTATATTTTCTTGCATCAGGTCCACTTGAAATGCTCAGATCTATTGGAACTAAATTCGTGGATATAATAACACATTTTACAAACGGGTATTATCATTTTATTCTATTTCCTTTAATTTAGCAAATAAATGATTAATCTTACCGGATTAGAAAAGAAATTAATCAGTTAATTTCGAATTATTGAAAAATCTCACATTTTATCTGTTCAGATTGGTTACCGTCAGAAATTACATTTACTTAAATGTGGAAAAAAATTTTTTCAGACGGAATGGTTACCGTAAAATACGTTCTATTTGTTTGTGGATTATACCATTTCTTCTGTTGGTGTTGCTCGCTTATTTCTGGCTACTACCGTTGTTTGCAGGTTTGTTGACAAAAATTCCTCGTGATGAAACTTTTTAAAACTTTTCGTTATTATGCGCGATTTTTCTTTTTTTTACACTTTCCTTCTGCTTCTTTTTTTGGGAAATTTCTTTTTTTCAGTCAAAAATAAAAGCGATGAATCGGATGTGCTGTTTTATCCGACTTTTTTTCATGACAAATCATTTGCCGGTAATTTATCTATTTAAATCTTCAGTCAATAACCAGTCACAGCTGAATAATCCTTAAAATGTCATTTTTACTTTTACTTTTAACAAAAATTGGAATGGCGTATTTAAAAGTTTGCTTCAATTCTTTTATAAATTGATAAATTCAAAAAAAATATATATATATGTGAAGATTCACATATGGCTATCCAATGCTTTATTTTATTTGTAAACTGCTTGTCATGCTTATCAGTTTTCATTCCGGTTTCATTGTTCATTTGCTTTTAACTATGTTTGTTTTCGAACCAGTTTTATGAAACTGGTAATTATTTTTTATCTCCAATATTGATGAGTGCATAATTTTGTTTTCTTTTGAGCTATTTCTTGATTGGTTAAAGGTACGAAAAATAAATGGGTAAGAGAAATGAGAATTATGAAAAAAAAGAAGTGGGTAAATTACTGGGAAAGTGAGTATTTTTCAAAATAAGATTAGTGATAAAATTTATGAAATTTATGCAAAATTAATTTTTCTCTCATGTTTTTCCGATCCTGCTTTCGTTTTTTATTTGTTTCACAAAAATATTTATCTTTTGTTTTATCGAGCACTGCCTCCTTTTGCGCTGCATTTTTATTGCCATTATCTTAGTTACTCTTTGCTTTCATTACTCATAGTTCTCTTTATTTTCGTTTTTTGTGCAATAATTTGATTTGCCTTTTGCTTAATTCTTGTCTACCTAAGTGACGAAATCTGCATATTTGGCAATTTTCTTAATCCAACCGAATCGCCTATTTTTCTTTATTTTTTTGTCTTTAAAAAGAAAAAAAGAAAATTCAGGATCATCTAATGTGTAACGAATCGAAACATTTATAAGTTTTTATTACATTTATAAGTATGTTCAGTGAATTTTGAATAAATCTGTGGATTCTTTCCTAAAATTTTTTATATAAATATTAATTTTCGTTGCATAAATATAAAATGTATTTTATCGTTTTTTAATACTGGAAATCAAACTTTACTTGATACGTCGTTACACACTGGGCAATTCCTGTCTTTCGTTGGGAAAACAATGATTTGAATAGTGTAAAAAGGGAAAAAAAACAGATTTCTACTTTATTATTGTAATATAAGTTCGAATAATTACAAATTTTTAAAGAAATTCAATTTCAGAATTTCGAGGTAAAATTTATGATGGAAGTTGGGCAAATTTTAATAGTCTCGCTAAAGCATTGCACTCCTTTGGTTAGTTTAATAAGTCATTCATAATGATAATAAATGGACAGATTCGGGAAATTCTTATATTTCATATCATTAAATAGCATAAATTTTTTTTTTCACTAAATTATAAAATGTACGAAAAATGTACGAAAATGTACGAAAATTAATTTTACAGGATCATCATTGATGGAATTTTTACAAATGATTTTCTATTTATTAATGGGACTTTTTGCAAAAGTTTGGCAGTTTATGTTTACCATTCCAACTTCCCTTACGTCGTCTTTGGCTTGGAATAAGGCATGTATTCCTTGTCTTTTTAATTATTTAATAAATCAACGAAATTTTTTATTTAAATCGTAACTTTCAATTATTAACAGTAAAATTCATTTGTTATCCTTAATTATTTGAGACTAAATTAGATCTGCAACTATGAAACAAGTCATGAAGAATCAGTTGATCGATCATCGTCTATTTTGGTATGAATAAGTTCTTTCAAAAGTGAACACCATTCCTTCTTCTTTTAACAACTCATTACTCTCATCATTACTAGTTAGACTGGTTCCGATTACAAGGGTAAGATATCTTCAGGCTATTCAGACCGGTTCTATCGTCGACATTAATAAAAGCTGTTCCTTTTTCCATCGTCTGAATCCATATATATCGCTGGTCCACTTCTACCTTCAAAATTTTTTCTGACTCTATCTTTCCAGTTCTTGATTGGTCCATCACCTTTGGACACCATTCCAGGCTTGATTGATTTCAATCAATTATTAGAATGTGATTTTTTTGCCGCTTGAGAATTAGAAGCGTATGTGATTTTCCACAGCATCATCTATATTCATTTTTAATGTGTTCATTCAGAGTGCGCTCTTGTTAATAGGCTGGAAGCCGGCCTAAGAGTACTAATTATGCTACATTTCCTTCATTCCATCATTATGGATATATGTTATATTGATTTATGCTTTAATTTCTTTTTCTTTTCATTTCAGACATCAATGGATAAGAATATTGGAGAATTGCAGCGAGAACGTAATTTGATGGAAAAAAGATACAATGAGCTGTCGAAGTCGATTGAATTAATCAAACTGTCTATAGAATCTCTGTCTCTTTCACATCAAAAGTTGTTTTTTTATTAAATAGTAAGGTACTAATTATTAGCCTCTTGAAAAAGTAGATTTTCAATGACTTCCAATGAAGAAATTTTTTAGGAAAACGCAGCCTTCGGAAAAGGAATTACTACATAAATTAGAGCAGAATTTTCATCACTATGTTGCGAATTTGGATCATATTGATAAATTAAATTTAGAAAAGGTTTGTTTTTAAATAATTCCATCAGCACTCGTTTTTTGTTTGACTAAAAACAAAAAAGTAAAATTTTAAAATTTATTAAAATTTTCCGAGCCAAATGGTACGAATTTTTACAATTATTTTGTTTAGTGATATAAATAATTTTTAGAATTTTCCTTGGAACAAATTGTAAAATTGAAATGATTTTCAAAAAATTCCACAAATATCCCCAGATTTGTCGTTTCTATATTTATAAGAGAGTGGTGTTATTGAAAAGCTAACATTTAACATTTTAAGTTAACATTTTTTAATTTCATATTTTTAAACAGTTTTTAAATCGATTTTAGCGGTTATCAGAATTAGAAGAGAAAATATTATCGAGGCTGGAGGTTTTAATAGTCAAACTGAACAGTGAATTCGATTTGAGAATTAATGAATCGCAAAACAAGACGATCGGCAGGCAAACTGCATTATCGAATGTTAATTTTCAATAATAACTTTATTTCAATAAAGTGTAACAACTCAAGTGTAACCTCAGTTTCCCATTTTTGGCCAATATTTTAGATTTTTTCTTTTAGAAAAAAGGTTTCCTAAATAAGGTTATAAGATTCGCTAATTAAGGAAGCAATGGTAAGAACCAGGTTTTTTAATACAGTATGAGAACGAAATTTGATTTTCAAAATCTTATGATATTTTTATGCTTTCTAAAATTCTGCGAAGTAATAAGTTTTTCTTTTCTCAGGCTCTTGACGATTTAGCAACAGTGATTGCCGATTTAAGAAACGATGTTAACGAGGTGATTTTTCATTTATTTCACGAAATGATTGTCAAAAGAAAATAATGATTATATAAAATTTATTCCAAATTATTATTTGGAATATTTTGGAAATTTTTTCATTAAATTTTTTAGATTCTTTGATAAATACAATCTATTGTAATATTTCTTACAGAATTTTAGAAAATTTTCATATATGTTATTTTTATTTCTTCTTGTAAGCAGTTAGATAGTTTAATTTTCTGATAAGTTTATACCATTGAGGAACCTTAATTTTAATTTTATGGAAGCATGAAGAAAAATTTTTTCTATGGTAAAGCATATTAATTTCAAATTTCTATTTCGATTTTTCTTTTGATTAGAAAATTTTAAATTTTTTAAATTTTGTACTAGTGTTTTTTGTAGCTTTTTTCAAGAAAGATTTTCTACTCTGGATCATCAACGGTTGATGTGATGAATATCAAAAAAATGATTTCCGACGCTCTAAAAATCTATGATTCAGATAAGACTGGTAAGGTGGATTATGCGCTCGAAAGCTTAGGTAAATCTCCATCAATTTTTTCTTGCATTTTTCGCGCATTCTTGCAATTTTTTCTTTTTTTCGCGCTTAGCTGGATATAGCTTTGTTCAGCTATGGAACTATAACTTTTTGTCCTTGAATATTTTTCTGTGTCAGCTTATCCCATTTGTTGGTACCATATTTTTATTAAAAAATATTTAATAAGCGCTTAAAAGAAAGTCTTTTGTTTGGCACATTAAAAATAGATAATCCGAAATGCCATACGGTATTATTTTGCAGGTGCTACTATTGTTAGCACACGTTGTACTGAAAGTCATACTAAAAAGTCTCGATTAGAGTCTATATTTGGAATACCACTGTGGTACGTGTCGTATTCGCCTCGAGTTGTTATTCAGGTTTGTTCTCCATTCGAGTTCTATTGTTCTATTCTGAATGTTGGTTATAAAATCAGATATTATGTCGTTAGTTCTTAGCACTCAATCAATTCTTCGTGCAAGAGCCTTATTTGTATCATCAGAATGAAAATATTTATAGCATCGAGGAAATGCATTGTCCGCAGGGGAGTGTTGGGCTTTTCGTAATGTTGGTTATTTATTGATTAAACTTGCTTCTGCCATCAATGTTACTGAATTCAGTTATGAGCATCTTCAAGCCAGTTTGCATCCAAACAATAATATCGAGAGTGCACCTAAAGAATTCGAAGTTTGGGTATTTTTTAATATCATTAGGTCCCAATATAATTATTAATTATTTTATTTTTTGCTTTAGTTTATTTCACGAATAGAGAAGAGTTTTAGGCTTATGAAGATCCTGACGATGTCGATTCTAAATTTCTTTTGGGTGAGTATCAGTATGATTGTGTGGGCGAAGCGCTGCAATTCTTTCCTGTTCAGGTTATCAAAAATATTTTAACCAAAAAGTCTGATTCAGTCTTTTTCGATTTTTCAACTTCCATTCAATTTTAATAATTTTCAATTTTTTATTGCTTGAACCATTTAGAATGATTTCAAAAGGCCAACTCAATATATTGAATTAGTCGTTCGATCTAATTGGGGAGCAGAATATACTTGTTTATATCGTTTTCGTGTGCATGGCCAGAAACCATTTAATATCACTTCTGTGGTTAATTAATATTTTAAGGTACAAATTTCTTGTAAAAATACGTATTTTCCGATTTTTCATTGATAATATAACTTGAATTATATATTATATATATATATTTTTTCCTCACCCATTACTGGTCAGACTCGCTCCACTGGCTTGTCGCATTGGGCAACATGCCAGGGAGTCCCTCAGGTGAGTCGCCGGCATCACCCGGATATAACTTGAATTACTTTGACATTTTTGAAATCATTTCTGTCATCTTTGATTTTTCAGATTGGCTTTATTCATTTGGTTACATTCCTTTGTAGATATAGAGGTGATGATGTATTGTATGTTTTAGCATCTGTGAAGAGTGGCAATGATTTAATTTTTTAAACTTCTTTAAAAATATGTTTTAGAGTTTGAGTTTGAATATTTGTTGTAATTTTGACCATTTTTCAACATTGTATTAATAAAAAAAGGTTCTGCCATTATCGGAATTTTTTACCTCAATATTGTTTTTTTATTTTCTTTTTCACTGAAAAATGAATCTGTTTTAAACCATGATCTCTTAATATATCATTGATTTTCTTGATTAGTGATTCACGTTGATAATTCGCTAGAAATAGTGATTGGCATTAAAGATTTTTGTAAAAATATTTGAATATGAATATTTTTAAAATTTTCTTCATTAATTTGATCCTATTCTTTAAATTAATAAAATTAATAATGTAAACGTTATGAAAATAAAATCTTTACAGAGATTTTCTAATTTAAAATTGACAAAATTTTTATTATTTTATTTTATTTTCATTGTTATTGTAACATTGTCATTGACATTATCATTCTAGCGTTGTCATTGATAAAAAAATTATTAAAATGATATTAAAATAGCAATATTAATATTATTATTATTATCAAAATATAGTGAATATTATTAAATTAACATGATTAATATTATCGTATTTAAAAACATATGGTGATAACAATGTTTTGGAATGTCACTTAGAGTAGTTATCATATATCATTACGAATACATAGTGATAACTTCATTGCCAGTTCCCCGAACTAACAAAACTCTTTTTAAACTATGTGTAAGAACATCTAAATATCGCATATAATTTTCAAAAGAAGTTTGAGTTTTCGGAGGTTCGGGAAGATTCAAAACAATTAAAGCGCTTCGTTGTGATTTTTCAACAATTTTCGCATTTAAACGAACAGCTGAATGTATACTTGATTTCTAAAAATTTTTTATTTAAATTAAAAGTTTCAGCATTTTTTCTTTTTAATGAAATTGATAATTTTGATAATAGATCAGCCAAATGAATTGATAATTGTGGTTTATTGTGTCAATTTGCAATTTAAGTTTCGAATGTCCGTAAGATCGTTTCAATTTGCGTTATATTTCTTATTTGTCTCCAAAAAAGATGATCCATTTGCAAAAAATTTTAATGAGGACAGACTGATTTGGGATTATGCAAGCCAAGAACAATGCCTCAAAGTTGGAAAGAGTTAAGCTACCGGGTTTAATGAACTGAATAATATTGAATCAATGACTATATGATATTTCATATAGTAAGTGACTAACCTTTTCTTTTTTTTTTGGTATATGGTCGTGGACCGCCATCGATGGTGTAAATGTAAATGTGCGCTCAACTTCTCTTCGATTATTTTCTGGTGATTTCGGCGTTCTATTGAACAAAAAATATTGAATATTAAAGCTGCATCACCAGGTAAATGTCACCATAAAGACGTTGGTAAATTTATTTGATAAAATTTTTGCAAAATATAAAATTTTTTCATATAAATTAAAATTAACGATTATAATAAAAATAAATACTCGACATGTTGCATAGGATGGTCCAAATAATCTTCTTGAATTCCACTCGTATCATTATTTTGGTTAAATTGAATTCCACTCTTATCATTATTTTCGTTAAATTGAGTGATATCTACGAGTTTTGTTGTAAAGCGTGATCGTACATCATCTAATGTTTAGTATTTCATATAATGTTATAGAAAAAAGAAAATGAAGCATTAGGTATAAGATTGGGAATAGAATGGCTCAGCGGGTTGTTGCTCAATTGGGAGCACCGATGCTGAGGTTTGATTCCCCGCAGGAGTAAACCTGTACAAAATCAATTATTAATTATAAGAAAAAAATATTAAAAAATATTCGGTTTACCACATTTTTGATTATTGTATTATATTTAATTTTTATAAAAAAAAGAATTCTATAAAAAAATTAAAAACCATTAATGAATAAATTGATAAAAATTTATAAAAACAAGCAACGAATGACGTAAATTGATCTGTTTTTTAACAAAGTTATCAGTTCATTAAATCAATTAGATCAATTTGTAGTTTCTTGGCCAATATTGCAATTTTCTAAAATCACCTTACCTTTAGGATTTTTCAAGGGCTTTTCGTCCAGAAAGTCGCGTGATCCACGATGTTGGTCGAGAATAAGTTGCGCCTATAGTTCCAGTAAATTACTGTTTTGCCATAATAATCGTCCTATAGCACCGCAAATAACCGCAAATTTTTTATTAATAATTTAAAAAAAAACTAAACTAACCCTCGTTTGTCGTCTTGCGAATTCTCTATTCACATCGATACTTCTTTGAACTTCATATGCTGATATGTCAGGCGAATCAAATTCTGCTAGCTTCAAGTATAACGGCACCATAACAAAAGGACATAACAAAAAAGAAAACTTTCCTCTATTCTATGGAAGTTCTTTTCTAGAAATCAAGTCCTGAACTAATATAGTCAGGAAAAACTTTAGAAGGACCAGCAAAGGATGGACTTATACGGAAAAAAGGAATGGCTTCTAGTATTATCAGCGATATCATTGATGGCGTCCGACCGTACATTATCTTTTTAGCTAACGGAGCCAGTGTAACCAGTAATGATGTTAGAAGAAGAAGAAGGAAAATTCTTAGGGAATTTCTTAACTTTCTGAATTCAGCCTTATTCGCTTTAGGTTTGCTTTAGGATTTCATATTAGAATATGGTGTTTTCTTTGATTATAGGCTTATCGAAGTTTTTCAAAAAATAAACCCAAAAAATAAACCAATTTCTAATTTTCTGATAGTTTAAATTTAAGAACATAAGAAATTTCACAGTAATTTTTTAGTGGTTTATTTTCTTTTTTTAAGAAACCAACAATAAGTTCGGCATCGATACGCATCTGATAGAGGAATTCTTCCATTTCCATTCGCATTTTGAATTGGTTATCAGAATGTTGCACAACAACAAAAATACGCATTTTGCAAGAGCGCCACACCTAAGCATAATGATTTCAATCGTGCGAATTAAACATGATATGATATGATATAATATACCTTATGTTGTTTCAGGAGGAAAGAGATAAGCAAAAGAAGCCCTCCATCATGAAGTATCCACCAGACGTCGATTAAACCACTTATTCGATCTTCTAGTTCTGGAAAGAGTAGAATGCCTTTAGGAATTAGCAAGGACATATCTTCTGCTGCGCCTCGCTGTAATCGATCTACAATTTTAAATTAAATTGTCTGATCCAAAATTTCATTTAAAAAATATATTATCGAATATGTAACAAAAATAACAAAAATAACAAAAAAAGATTGATTCAGGTGGCGCATTTTCGACTATGATCAAACCATCATAGGCTCGATTTCTCTTTCCGGTAAATGAAAGCCGGATAGTTCAGGATATTCATCAGTATTCCTGTTCTCAACTAATTATATAATAAATGGATTTGTTTATATTAGCCATTGGAACCATCCAGAACTGGTAAGTGCTAGTGCTAGGGGAAAAAATTATCGATAGTCAAGTTCTTGTTCTTTCTTCTTATCGGTCAAAGCATATTTTCTATTTAAGCTGCTTCCAATGATTATTAAGTGAAAGACTTTCACCAGAAAGTTACTCAGGCATGCAAGATATTAATAGGCCCTCAACTGAACTTGATTTCGTTTACTCAGATATTCGAAGAACACCCATTTAGGTAACACTTGTCCTATTCGTGAGACGAAATAATAACGTGTGATTTAACTTCACAAAAAAAATTTCAATTTCAAGCCCATCATTTATGATTCAAATGAGTTTTTGTGACAACAGTCAAGTATTAAATATTAACAAAATATGAATATGAAAACATACGCAAAAAACTCCAGTAATTACTGCCAACACCTCCAAGTTCAGGATAAGGCACTAGAAGAGTATTAGGATGAAGGGGGCCAATACCACTGCTTTGTATCAGAGTTGATAATGCAGCTTCAACCTGATCAGTATCATATATCAGTGAGGAACAAAATCCTCTTACCTTAGCCACTGTCATTTCAAATGCCAATTTAGTTTTCATCATAGCAGCAATCGACTAAAATATTTAAATTTTTTATTTAAATATTACTCCAATTGAAGAATCATTTATATGCTTATCCAAAGAAAATAATTTCGCCCAGTGATTTCCTTCAATTTCTTAAATTTCTTCAATTCATTGGTCCTAAATTTTTCTTATTTATTCATCCAGAAAAAAGGTATCTATGAGAAAAAAATGAAGGAAAAGCTTCGAAAAACACAGCTTTTTCATCGCTATCAGTTGGATCGCCACCACGCAGTGAAACTGCTATAGTAAGTCCTCGACCTTTTTTGAGTTGACTAGCAAGATGTAGTAGCTTCCTAGTTGTCTCTTCTTGATTTGATTCATGACAAGACGGTAAATTTGTGATGAGCAAAAGTTGAGGCCTAAAAAGGTGAGACTTCACTTTTCATGGAAGGCAAATTTGATTTTGATATAGAATTTGACATAGAAAAAATTTATCTTGAAGATTTAAAATTTCATATTATAAATTTCATAAAATTCATCTAAAATCGAAAATTTTTTAAAGTTCCTTCAATTTAACGAATGTGATTCAAAATATAAACATAGAACCATGTGGTAATATCTACGGATATATCAGTTATTTTAATCATTTATCGTTAACATTGTCTATTTTAATTAAGAATAATTGAAAACCTCCAATTTTTCGGATGTGGTATCTTATCTTCTAATTTTGATAAAGAAAACTGGGCCGTGCTTAGAACGAGTCCTCGTATACCATCTCCCCACTCTTTTTTGTCCCTGAAATCCATAAAAAACTAGCAATCCATCTTCACGTCCATCTTTCTTTTTTCTTTCTTGCAGCTGTAAAATTCTTCGACAGACCAAAATAAAGTAGATTGACGGTTTTTTAGGCATAAATCTCTATTCATTCGAAGAGATTTCCCATTAGACGGATTTTTTGACGGACTTTTCAATTAAAATTTAAATTTAAAAATAAAAAGTAGTTTCATACCTAGAAGTTTAAAATAAAAATTTTTATTCAACGAAAAAAGAATTACCCTTTCCAATCAACATATTTGTATATAGCAGCACATAAAAGCAATACTATAGTTGCATAAATCCAGTGGGTCGAGAACATGATAAAGAGACATATTAGAGCACCTAGCAATGATAATGACCTTAAAGTATGTGATAAGACAGTTTAATAAACCGAGCATAACTAGATGAAAATTAATAAACATCTTGTATTCGATTATCCTAGATTACCTCAATTTTCATTTCATATTTTATCATTTTATCATTATCATTTTGCTATCATAATTTTGATAATTTATTGAAAATTTAATGGTGCGAAATTTATAATGGTAGTTTTTTATATCTTTAGCGAAATTTAAAGAAAGAATTTAAATCGAAAACACCTTTTTCTAAACTAAAATGTCATTTCTATTCCATATGGACCACAAAATGTTTAATATGAAAAAATGAAAGGCGGAATTTTAGATAATAAGAAAATCTATTCGCCATAAGATAGCGAATTTGCAGTAGAATTTTCTAATTTTCTACAAATAGCATATCAGACAATACCAGTGATAATATTTAAAACGTGGTCGCCAATTTGGTGCTCCAAGAATCGAATGAAGGAAACATATCAAATTGACAAATGCATAACACATCAGAAAGAAAAAATCAACTATTGGCGCTATTCTGTCGATAGCAGCGACAAGTATCACCAATTCAGCGAGAATCGCCGTTAAAATCGTACTAAAAACTATTGCTAAAGTGCCTCTCCTTCAACTATTTCTTCGTCTTTATAATAATTCTCTTTATTTTATTTTACTTTTATTAAAGCTTTGAAGCTTTGCATTATCATCCTTTAAAAAAGTGTCATTAAAAGTGTTATTTTTATCATCATCATTTTATCATTTTTTACAAAAGTATCATAAAGTATAAAGTATCATTTATAAAAAAAATCACTGAGAATCTTCGAGATATTTCTCAAAAAATTTACTGATTTACTGATAACATCTTTATTTACTGATATTAAGGCTTATTTTTAAAGATATTTCGAAGTGCAAAATAATTTAAACGAATTACCATCGAAAAGGTTCATTCCATCTGTTAAGTACACGGAACAATTGTAAAAATGGTAATACATCGTCTTTCGTGATTGAATATAAAAGCCTTGGTGCGCCTTAGTAAAATAGTCACCGTTAATAATATAATTATAAAAATTATAAAAATAGAAAGATATTTGAAAAATCTTTAATAATTTAATTAAGCGGTAAAATATTTTTTGAAATTTTTTTCTTCGATATAACCAATCGCCAAATTAATTTTCACTATAATGAAAAATAAAAAAAATTAAATAATCTTAAAAAATTCGGCAAAATAACGTTTGATTCCAGGTAAAATAAAATATTTGATTTTTTAATCTAAGAATTCATCAAAATAATAGTAATAATAATATTAATAATAATAAATACGAATTTATCAAAAATATAAATTCATTATTTATTAAAAATTCAAAAAATGAAAAAGCCTTTTCACAGATTCCACGTAATGTTAATGTTGAACTACAAGAAGGACAAAAATTCAGCAAAGTGATGTCTAAAAAATAGTTTATCTTAACCGGCCAAGCCAGCTGTATTTCTTCATTATAAAATAATAACTAAGTAATCAAAAATAATCTATCAATCGATGGAGAATGAAATTATTTGTAAGGAAATAGAATTAGTGGAAGAATTTCAAAAATAAGAAGTACCACTCGCAATAAAAGTATTATTTCAAAATTATTCAAATGGCCTATCTAGGAAAAGCAAAAGCTGAAGATGATAGAGGATAACATACGAATTTTAATTTTATGCAAGCCAAACATTCTTGGTTGTGCCACAAGAAAATTTAAGAGGAAAACCAAGCATTTTTTTTTGATTGGGTTATTCAGAAGTAGCTCTCTACATTAGCCAATCTTATATATCGAAGAAGGAAGTTGGAAAAAAATTTTTAATTACAAACTACAAATCAACCGCTATTAATGCATTAATGTTACTAATAACTGATTTGATAGGCTTACTTATCGTTTTGAAAAAAGTTTACAGAATTACAAATAATTTTTATGAACCACTTTTAAATCTTTCGATAATATATAAAAATATGATTAAAATTAAATAAATATTCCAAAAATGTTCCAATTATTCCATAAATATTCTAAAAAAAAGATCTAAAAAATTTTTAGAAGACTTACTACATAAACACTGGAGTGCTGCTCCAAAACAAGATGTAAATGATCCAACAAGAATAATCCAAGGCGATGGCCAAGCCATTTCAGCCACAACCATGCCACGACCTCGTAAACTTTGCCCATATTTGTCACGTAATACGGGACCTAATTTATCAAATTCATATTTATACTTATATTTATAATATTTTATACTTTATATTTTACATTAAAAAATTTGACTTTTAAAAAGGTAATTGTAAGAAAATTAACCACTTTCAAAATTTAAAGAGGATTAAATCAGAATTCAAAAGATTCAATGATTCGTTTTTCCCTTAACAAAAATAGAGTCAATCAGAAACCGATCGCTTGTTATTGCAGGTAAAATAATTGGCCTGGCTAAGGAATAATTATTTGATTAACAAATATATATGTATAAGATTCTTATTCTTAGGTATCCAGAAAACTTTCATTCAAATAAGTAATAAATGCTGCGTTGACGGTTCAGTGACCACCAAGAATCAAGGCTTGAACTCCAACCCATCGACGCATTTCTCTTCATTGGATGGCACTGTCGCCTAGCTAGAAGACTAGATTGGCTCAGTGATTCAATTCGGAGCGCTGATGCTGTGGTTCTAAGCAGAAATAAATAAATCTTTCCAAAAATTCAAGTGGTACCGACTCGTCTCTATCGCTGCTATCGCCATGAGGCTCCCTGGTATATTTATCTAATACGACGAGTCAACGGAACGATTTTAACAAATGATGGTGAGTGCTCTTAAAAAAAATAATAAATAAAATTCAAAGTAGCAAAATTAAAAGTTATATATTAAACCTGCGATAGTGGTTCCAAAGCAAAAAATGAGTGCCAAATAGACAAACGAGGTGAATAGTTGAGCAGCTATAGTTCCAACAGGAATATTTTTTTGTGGGTCGCGAAGATCACCTGAAATTTAGACGATAGTTCCTCATGAAAGCAAGGCATTGAAAACGATTTTGCTGTGCTGATCATCATCAATCGTTGTTTATAGATTCAGTTCTTCCAAGCTTTCTTTCATTGAATTTTTTCTTCCCAGGTCCAATCAATCGAGGAACTTAATCAAAATAAAAGGCCGAATTGTTCAGAGAAACCCAAAATTCAAAATCGTTCAATGAGGAGACTTAAGAAATCTTGTAGAAACATTCAACGATATAATACTATTCTAATAACCAATAACCAATTAGTAATAATAATTAGTAATAATAGTTAACAATGATAAAAAATGATAAAATAATAATTAACAGTAGTAATAATTAATAATAACAATACTATCCTACGATGGATATAAATTTTTGAGTTCTAAATATGGCACTTAGAGGGAATTCAGATGTATGTATATTCCACGAATTGATCACTTTAATCAAGCGTCCTCTAGACATATGAGAATAGTCATCATAATGCGGCATTATTTTAATGAAATAGTATATATCAATCTGGCATATAAGTAGTAGTTCAAACCAATGAAAGTCCTCAATAAGTCCGCATCAAGAGATTGAACGATGAAAATGTTTTGAGAAAAACGGCCAAGGATTTGTCAAACATCGTATGGCTTCAAGCTGGAAAACTCAATTCATACTGTGCCTTTTGATCAATTCATTATGCTCCTCTCTTTCTTCATGCCCCTTTTTCATATTCAAATTATCTTAAATTATCTTAAAAACTGGAATTTAAAAAATTGATAAATCTTTAATTTACCGCTCATATTCGACCCCGTCATAATGCCCGTCACACTCGGAAAATATATTGCCAAAATTACGAAGAAATTCGTGCTTATATCCTGTAAATATCATAAAACTTTTATCATATTTCAAAATTGATAAGATAAGAAAGATTAATGAAAAAATACAAAAAACAAAAAAAGCAAACCTGGAAAATGTCGATATACTTGCGCGCCACAACCCTTTGTGCAGATTCACCTTCATTCATATAGTTACTCATTAAATTCTCTGCAATTTAGGCAAATTTATTCTAAAAGGACTAATTTAGTGGTGCAAACTGGGTGGCTTTTACTAAATTTAGTTTTTTTTTCACTGATTACACTGATTTTATTTCGTTATGAATATTGGACCATTTAACTGAACTGAACATTTGCAATTTGCAATTTTTAATATTATATAATATTTATATTTATATTATATAATATTTAAAATTTATTTAAATTTATTTATTTATAAGAATAATAATTCAAGTTTAAATAATAATTCAAGTTTAAGGCAAACCGTTAAAAGTATTTCTTCGTATACCAGGAAATGCATAAATGCATGATAAAGACTTATTCGCCATTTCTGTACAATTTTCAGCATTTATATTCCCGCATAAATTATTGAGTAGCTTTACGTTATCAGTTGTACAATATGGACATTGATTATCAAAAGCTGTATTATTTAAATAATCAGGAATAAAGGCTTTGGATTGAAAAACTATTGATTCATTTAATGTGCAAACTGTATGTTCAGAATTAACAATACTCTTATGAATTGTACCAGCAAAAATTGATAAAATTGAAAATAATACGCAAAATAGAGACACCTGAAATAGCTCCTTAATAATTAATAATAATATATAATTTTATTTTTATCGCTTTCCTTCGACAGTATTTGTATGGCAGGAATTTTTTTAAACTCTCCAGGCTAAGAAATAATAGCTCAATAGGTTTATTGTTCAATTCGAGACACTGAGGTTTACTTCCCACAGGAGTAAACCTGCCCAAAAATCGAGTGATAATGGGGAATCATCTGTACTTCAAAGGATTTCCTGGTATATTTACCGAGCGCGACAAGCCAGCGGAATAAGTCTAATCAGTGATGAAGATTCTTAAAAAAGAAAACCCTCAAGCAAACAATCCATCCATTCAAAAGTGTTAAAAATTAAAAATCGTATAGTATTCGGCATATCGGCTAAGACTATTTTCGATAGTTTCTAGTGATTCATGAATACTTTTGCTTTTACTTTCGAAATTTTGATAAATAAATGGACAGAGAAATAAGAAATACCGGAGCAAAAAATTGTACGAATTTCACACCAAGAGCTACAATAAAAAATGTGATTAATAATAAAACAGTTCCATAAATGCGAATATTATTGGACATCATTCCCATGAAACCTAAAACATGATGGTTTAAAAAATGAAAACGAAGAGAAGTGATTTGCAGGTTTTCGTTATTTGAAGGCGGATTATTTCAAAAATGAGGAATTCTCGACAAATTTCGTCGAAGCCATGCACCATAAGGTGAATATAACCATCATGCAATATCAAAAATCGATCAGTGAACTAACCTATATCTTTTACGACGTCAGTACCTCCAATTGCTATAGTAGGGAATAAATATAACTGAAATATTAAATAGTTTATATATTTGAGATCGCTCCGAACAATTGAATTTGGGCAATCTTAACATATTGCATAATATTATGAAAAACTGAACAAATTCTACAAATTTTAATATTGGGGAAATTTTTTGCCCGAATGAAAAAGAAATTCTATAAATGAAACCATATAAAAACCAAGGAATGCATTCTAAACAAATGATAAATACTGATAAATAGATATAATAGTGATTCTAATAATCAAATAGTATGATTTCGGTGAAGTCAATGAAAAACATTCACCAGTAGTACTTCGATGGCTCCAACAATATACATAGCACATGCGCATGCATTCGCTAAATAGAATAGAATACCGACTGATGTACCAAACTCAGCGCCCAAATTACGCGAAATCATGAAATAAGTTCCACCACTTTCGATAACACCATTCGTGGCAACCGCACTCAAACTTATACAAGTTAAAAAAGTCTGAAACGATTAGTTTCCTAAAGTTCTTTGCATTACAAATCATCCAAATTCTCATGCATCACACAATAATATAGCACTTTTCTCTTCCAAACACTCTTTCTGATATGGCTGATTAAGACTGATGCCTTTAGCTAAAGGATATCTTGAGGCCACGAAACAAATGGATCTCTAGCATAACTCAGAATTCACTCTCACAATGACACTTCCTATTCGAAATTTTGCTATCCTTTACTTGGCCGAAACCTTTGCTACTTTGCGAATCACCTCATTTTCTAAAGATACCATTAATAGCAGGCCTTTCTAAGCTTATTTCGAAAATAAATAGAAAAAACACAATTATCAACTTTTCATAAATTCACATAAATCATATTAACAGCAAAAAAAAGATATAGCTAAGAATGGATCCAAGATATTTAAAGGGGTTCATATGGCTTCAATTACTGTCGATAATAGCATCGAATCGAATAGCTTGGAAACGTCTTACCTCTATAGTCAACGGAATCAGTCCAACCAGTATTGGTGAGAGCTATAGCCAATGGAACCATCCTAATCAGTAATGGCGAGGCTATTAGAAGAAGAAAAAGAACGACTAACACAAAAACAACACAAAAAAACCATAGCGAGACTTTGCATAATTCCCATCATTCCAACAATCCAAAATAATCGAAGAAATATTATAGCACCAAAGATATGTTGTATTGTCGGTAAGAAAACACCAACTATAGTTCCAAGATTTGCCTGAAACGATATTTTTAATATAATTCATAATTTTAATAATTTTAACAAATTTTTCAATAACCTTACTGAACTCGTGAATGAAAACTGAAATTGCCTCAAATATTTATTTATAATAATTGCTTAAATTAATTTTTTCAATTATTTAATTTTTATTTTATTCGTATTTATTTATTTATTATAATATTTATATTTATTTAATAGAATATTTATTTAATTTAATATAATAATTCTAAAAAAAACAAAAAAATTTATAATAAGAAAACAAAAATTTATTTATTTATTTAATTTATTTATATATATAATTTATATAAATTTATTTAAAACGAAAATTAATAATTTGTTTGCCTCGTAATTTTCTTCATTATTTTATATCTTTATTTATTTATTAATTTAAATTTGCAATTTCAAATATTTTAAAATTTGCTAAATTTTTTTTTTTGCAAATTTAAGAAGATATTTTCTCATGTAAAAATAATTATTGTTAATGATTTGGTTGGTTTAATATTGCCATTCGTTTTTTGTTCTTATAAGAATCGTAGAAATACGACAAATGGCTATCCATTGAGGCCTAAAATTATTAATTAAATTCACCTTCTTCTTTATGCTATTCGCTCTATCGGTTTGAACATGAAAACCATCGAAAAATGCGGTAACAAGTTGAACACTTGGACGGCCAGAAAAGTGTAAAAGTGCATTTCGTGGAATACTCGAAACTGAAAATACAAAAAAATTTTTAAGTTCAGTAGTTCAATACTTCAGTACTTATGAATAATTATCTAATGAATTGGATAAAAAAATAAAGATAGGAAATATAAAAATTTAGAATAAATTTAGAGAAAATATTAAAGAAATAAAATATTACTTAGAGAGAATTAGCAATATTTGCTGAGATGCTACGAATTCCCTAATATTTCCCTTTTTTGCACCAAATTTCTAGTTTTATTAGTTCCATTTACTACTAGGACGAATTGGAACCGTGATAGATCGCTAAAAAGCACCAACATGTATTTTTATCTATTTTTATCAACTTATTATAGATTTTTTGAAAGAAAAATTAAATTTCTTAGGGTAAGGTAAGGTGAACTGAAAGCGATCATAACTTGGCTTTATCGAAAAGCCGATCCTTAATTTTACACATCTTACCTGTGCTGCTATCATCGTAATCAATGTTTCTTTCATTAATTTTGGAATTTTTCGTGCCACTGCTTTTTTTCTCCAATACACAAGCATCCACTGGGAATATCAAATTATTGCGTGGCTCAGCAAATTCCACCTTCGGTTCATCATTTCCAACATCTGGAGTAATCCAGATATTGAGAGAGCTATTACTGAAAGAAAAAATACTTTTATGTTCCATGCAAATGATTTTCCATTCTAAAATCCATAGAATTAATATGCATTGCTGGAAGACGCTCAAAATTCCGAAAATCAAAAACGTGAGAAGAAAGAAAAACAGTAAAAACCTCAGAAATGACTTCATCTTCTTTTTCGGGACTTTGAGCTTTTAATAGATTTTCCCGGGTTTCTGGGTATTCGAGGATTTTGATATAAACCCATCGATTATTAAATTTAGCACTTAGTGTTAATCAACCTTTTTTTTTTATAACAACATTAACTTCATATCAAATTAGACAATAAAGTTTGAAAAAAATTGAATAGAGCTTATTTAGTATAAGTTGCTAACCGTTTATCAATATTGGTATTGACACCAGCACCACTCATAATTTCTATCCAAAAATATTATCAGCGTTAGTTAATCAACTGATAGTTGACAACAAAACCTTCTTTCTTTTTTGTTATCTATGTGCTTCTTATCATATCGATTTTATAGTTATAATTATAGAACCATACGATGCATATCTGTTTTTTCAATTGCGATTTTATAGCGATTGTGAGATTCTTTAAATTTCTTAAGTAATTATAAATCATAAATATTTTCCATATATTTTAGATTTTCGATCATTTTCTTTGAAAATTTTAATCGAAGATTTTGATTTTTTTTTTGGAGCTTTCCTAAGATATTTTCTGTTCTCGTTTTTATTCCATTTTATATGCCAAACAATGAACTCAAATAAATGCAAAAATGTGTAGAAGATAGACATATTCAACAGACTGTTTTACTTTATTAATTTAAAAAAAGCTGGAAATGACTAATGAATAAAAATTTAAGAACCAACTATCTACAAAACAGATTAAAACATAAGTGAGTTATAATATTGAGATGATGCTCGGCACTTATTTAATCGACTCTAAGGATTTCCTACTGGCCAGACAAATCAGAAATGGTACTTATTTCTTCCGTTTTTCTCGCACTGCACCGTCGAAAATATAAAATATTCACGAACTAATTCGAAAAACAATCTTTATATTTAGTTGTTTTATTAAAATTACTTTTGGCAACATTGAATTTGTCTGTTAACATCATCATCATACAAACATTAATAAAAAACTAAAAAAATAAATCTTTAGAAATAATTTTAATTATACAGCACCGTTATTAAGATGAAATTATATATATATATATATATATATATTTGCACCATCAATTTGCACCAATTAGCACCATTTGCATTTTCTCATCCATACCTACTATGGCGATTTTCTCCTTTTTTTTTCATCGAGGAAATATTCTAATTATATTAAATAAAAGCCTAAAGATGGCCAAATTCAATCCACAACAATTTATGGAATTATAAAATAATTTCGCCTAATTTTCATGGAATAATTACAATAATAGCAACAAATTATTCATATGGTACTGCTCACATTACAAATTATTCATGTGGTACTACTTACAGTCAAAAAACAAATTGGGCAAGAAAGTTTAGTGGCATATATGAATTGAATGAAAAAAGGAAAATAATCAAAGTAATCGAGGACAGATTGTTAAATTAAAGCCAACAAAAAAAACAATCGCGAAAATAAAATTATAAAATTCTATTTCGAATTTTATTTTTTTAAATTTTATTAATTTTAATTATTATCAAAGCAAAAGAATTTTAAATTCTTCGCAATTTTTTATAATAATTAAAATTAAGAAAAAATTCGAGTAGAATTTCAATGAAAAAATTTCATCAAAATATATTTTTAGTTTCTTAAATTTACCAAAAATTATTAACAAATAAATGAAAAAATATTTTTATTTTTCCTGAAATATCTAAGCGAAAAAATTTGATATTTTTTTCGCCAAGTAAAAATTTTAAAGAGAACAAAAAATGGCGGAAATTTATCATAATTTTCGAAAATTTTTAAAGCTAAACATAGAAATAAAATATTAAAATTGATGATCAAAAATGTTGATTAAAAAAAAAATTTTTTTAAAGTGCTTCAAGGATTGGCATTGATCGTTTTGTATCAAAATCGCGTAATGTCATATTTACAGTGGTACTAACGTTCGTTCCATTCGTTAAATCATCATCATCATCAAGATTTAAATTTCTAGAAAAAATTTTATCAAAATTATCAAATTATTTCCTTTTAAAATATTATCATTAATTATAATAAATTTACGTAAAAATGATTTAATTATTGTTGAAAAATTTAAAATTTAGATGAAGGAGTTTAAGGCGTTTAAGGTAACTAACATATCCTCTGGCTCCTCTTCTTGATCATCGGCCATAAGTGCTTCATACTCTTCTAAGCAATAACGATCCCAATCATTTAACTCTTCATCACCATCCGTCTAAAAAATTTCTTTTCTTAATTTTCTTTTTTTTCATTCCACTTAATTGGTACATATAAATTGGAATGTCCTACAAATCCAGATAGTAAGTATGCATTTCAAAATGCTCTTGGCGGCTCATCTACAGTTTAGTTTGGCTCTAAATGACTCCTTAGCAAAATTTGTTTTGTCCAACAAGCCAACCGAGCAATTCTAACCAGAAATTAGACCTCGTTGACAAAAAATGCATTAACTGAATCTAATAGAACAATTATAAAAATTCCTTATATCTCCGATGAAACTACCGAATTGTCAAAAAACTTACCACAGTTGCGCGTTCACCTTCGCTTGATTCTTGCTCATAATATTTCACCCAGTTTACGAAAGTATTAAAAAATCTCGTACAAAGCGAGCATCGCTTCAAATCAGAAAGAGCAATAGCATTTGGTGAACGTGGTTGAATTAGATCCAAAAGCTGTGAAATTAATACAATTAATTAATATAATAAAATATTGACCCAAAGAAATTACTGATAACAATTACTGATAACTCTTAAATATCATTTTTTTCTTCCCCATTAAAAAAAATCTTCAAAACACCTTTTGAATAAGAAATTTGTTAAAAACTTCAGAACAATTTCATTCCATTTAAAAGTCAGTTTTAAAATTTTCCATTATGGAAAATTAATAAAAGAGAAATAAAAAGATAATATCACTGATATATACAAATTATATAAATATATATATCTGTATATATGTAATTTTTGTTTTTTTAAGAGCCCTCACCACTACTGGTTAGACTCACTTCGCTGGTTTTTCGCACTAGACAAATATACCAGGGAATCCATTGGCGATAGAAGTACTCGCCAGCATCACTAAGGATATATATATATATATATGTATTAATATAAGTACAATTATAGAATGTACTGATAAAGCACAATTCAAGCGAAATTTTCATTAAGATTATTAGCATTGATTAGATATAATTCAAATGTTTAATTTTAAGATTATCTAATTTTGTCTGAATTAAGAAAATGAATATTTCGGTAAAATTAAATAAATATTAGCTTAAAAGATAGAAAGCAGATTAACTTCCCAAGTGCCTTTCAACTAATTCACCGTTTCAGATAATAATTTAAAGCGACACATTTATCCATTTTTTTCGCGAAATATTTAAATAAAAAAGGAAAATTTTATAAAAATTTTAAAACAGATTAACAGATTTTAAAAATTTAAAAGTTTATAAAAATAAATTTAGAAAATTTAAATATTTTAAAAAATTTATTTTAAAATAATTGAAATGGTTTACATTGCAGACAACATCGTCGAATCGCATCGAATCAATGTGATGCTGATCCATTTTGCTCTTAACACCATTATAAAAATATTCCATTTCATAGAGCGATATTAAGCCATCTCCATCAAGATCGAGGCAACGAAACCAATATTCAATACTTTAATAGTTTTAAATTTTAGAAGAGAAGATTCAGTGTGATCACAGTTGGAATGCAGAAAACTTAGTAATAGTTGAATTTATAAGGAAAGAGGAAATATTTTAATAAAAAAACCTTGTAGGATGCTTTTTATCCTCTTCAGCAAGTAAAAATGCAACAAAATCTGTGTAAGTTATAGTATCAATCGCAGTACGTATCCTACGACCGAATGACGATCGTGTTACAGCTCCACTAAATATCCTATCAATTATAGGCGATGGTAAAGCTGAAAATCACAAATTATTGATAATTTTTTTCCCTTATTTCATAAAATTTTATAATTTTTTATATATTAAAATATATTTTATATATTAAAATATTAAAAATAAAAAAATATAGACAATAAAATATTTATTGTTACAGCTAAAATTTAATATTTATTTCATTTTATCATTTCCATTTAACATTCATTTCCATTCATTTCTTTTTATCAGTATTTAATTGTTTGTTATCAGTATTATCAATATTAATGTGAAAAATGTTCCTAAAATAAACGCAAATAATTTCTGACAAAAATATTTTGAATAGTTTGTAAATTTTATAGCAATAATTCCGCGATAAAATAAAAAATATTTGCTTTTGTAAAAAGTTGAAGAATTGAGTATAAATTGATAAAAGAAAAGATTACTAAAATTTGCTAATATTTGCCTATTATCTTTCACTTATATTAAAATATTTTTCCCACAAGAACGATTGGATTATTCGGATGAATTTGGTGTAAAATATGAATCTAAGGAAGAAAGCAATAAAAAGATGTAAGAAATGTGAAATTTCCAGAAATATAGAAATTATAAGCAGATTAAAGAAGATTAAGGCTCAAAAATCCATTATATTTATGGAATAATTATTTCTAATTTTCTCGAAAGCGATTTTCAAAATTTTTCATAAAAATTTAATGATGAAATGAACTTTCGTAGTGATAAAAAATATACCTCCATTAGCATGATGTGATATATCAATCTTATTGATAATCAAGTCATGATCCTTATCAAGTTCATAAAATTTACAATAAATAACGTAGAAATGTTCGTAACTAAAGTAATCAGTCACCGTGTTTATATCATCTGTAGTTTCTAATTTACGAACGGTCTGAAAGATTTGCCAACCATTTAATAAATTTCTTTCGTTAGGTGAATAACAAATTAAACATTTATTACGCAATACATTCCTTATTTCTTGTTCATTGAACGTGTAATATAAATAAATCATTGTAGAATATATATAAATCATTGTAGAATATAAAAATCTAATAGAATCTAAGGAAAAAATTATTAAATAGAAAATCCCATGTAGGAAATGCTTTATTTTAATAACCAACGAAGCCAGCTAAGTCAAAAACAGTGGTCGAGCAGGTGAAAGGTGCATATGGTGAAAAGGTGATTATGATTAATATGATGAACAAAATAACTATTCAGCATCATTTATTTGAAAGTAAACTCTAGAAATTTTTTATAATTATTGAGAAAAATCTTAAATTGTTTTGATGACCACAGTATTCTCACATACTATTGGCCACTACGACTCAATACGGCAGATTAAGGCGCAAAACTAAATTCCATGGAATGAATCATATTAGGAAATAACCTGGAGAAAATTGGATCTCCTCAATTCATTTGCGGTAATTCTACCCGTCCATGATCGATTCACTGACCAAAATATGCGAACTACTACCTGAAATGAAAAAAAAAATTGGCCATTATAATCACAATTTTTTATTTTTTTAAATGTGAAAATATTTATTTATGAAGATGGGAAAGCAAAAATGGATCTTCGGACATTTCAAGACATCTCAAATCAAACAATACCGTTTCGACATATCGTGAATGAAACTCTTGTGCTTCTCGAAGGAAATGTAAGCCTGGGAAGCTATCAATAAGATCCTGAAGCATCGATGTGAAATCTTCCTTAATTAAATAGTTTCGATTAGGGCCAGCCAACGAAAAAATGAATCGAGATGCTTCATCATGTGCTGTTGATGTCATTCTAAAAAAAAAATTAATTTTTTGAAATTTTGTAAAAAAAATCAGTAGTACCAATTAGGACAATTAGGATAGAATTATGAACTCAATAAAGTGAAAAGAATGGTCATGTCAATATATCATTGCTGCTGAGAGCAAGTAGCATAACTTTTAGAAGTAGAAGTAGACTTGTCATTAGCTATTCACCTATGACTCCATTCTCAAATGACTCTCTGTCACCTAAGTTATGTATGGCTCACCCCAATTATGGATGGAGCTAACCAAGCAAAAGTGCAGAATTCTTTAAAAATTGCCATTGAGACGTTATCCGAATGAAATTAAATTTGTAATCCCTCACTATTTTTAAACTAAACTGAAAATTAAACTAGTAAAATAAATTAAAAAAATTTATTGCAATGAAACTGATTTACCTATTCCACCAGACCGAGAAATCTGCTAAACTTATTGTTTCTTGTTGATTACGAGCACACGAATCAAAAACGGGTTTCTTCCAGTATATTGGAATTCCAGCAGCTTTACATATTTCTGGCATATTTGCTAAGCTCACCTATAATTTTTCACCCATTCTTTACCCAGTTTTTCTATCTTATGATATTATAATATTATTATTATATTATAAATATTATTTATTATTATTATATTATAAATATTATTATTATATTATAAATATTACTATATTATATTATAAATATATATAATAAATATATATAAATATATATAATATATTATATAAATATATATATATTAGAAATATTATTATAAATATAACTATAAAATGAAAAGAAAATAAAGAAATTCCAACTTTTCCTCCATCCGTTCGATTGAAAGCTTCACTAACTCGTCGTAGAGCTGTTTCGTTATCAATCATTGAAATCGGTTTTCCTTTAGGAAAATAAAATCTGCAAATTTGACTTTTTTTTACACATTTTACAATTCATATTTTTAAAATAATTCATAAAATTCTAAAAAAAAACAACGACCGATAGTTTTATTTTATATGAAAATAATAAAAATTTGTTAAAATTTTGCATAAAAAAATTTTACCGAGGCACATCAATATGAGATACATTTGGATATAATGGAGGTCGAACTGATACTGTTTTTGACGCCTAAAAATAATTTTTATTAATAAGAAATTATTAAAAAATTGTTTTTTAATATTTATTTATTTTTAATATTTTGATATCATTAGTATTTTTTAGTATTTTAACATTATTAGTATAATATTTAAACATTTGATTTTTTTATTATTTCTAATTATTAAATATTTTAAGCATTTTAGTTAATTTTAATTAAATTTTTAAACTAAATGTACTATTAACCGTAAGCATGAAGTAATCGTCTTGAAATCGAAGATTTTTAATCGGAATGCTAATCATTTTCATTCGAGAATCAAAAATTCGAAAATCAAAACAAATTTCAACGAAGAGGAAGATATAAAATAAAGGAATGCTTACCGAAGTCGATTTCTGCTCAGTTGCCTTCCTTGATAAGCGTCTATCAGCTAATGATAATGGCGAAACATTTCGAATAAAATCGTCCACTTTCGTTCTTCAATGAAATTTAATATAGTCATATTATTTATTATTATTTGAAAGGTCTAAGTTTAAATATTTGCAAGCCAAATTAATAAAATGGGTAAGAAAAATAACGACACATGTGCAACTCGAATTTAGAATCTGTGGATTAATAGATCGGTTTTATTAATGATTTTTTGTAGATAAAACTGATAGGATTTTAGATTGATAATGGGATTTAGAAAATTAAGAAGCTATAATTTGTGGCTGAAACTAGGATTTCTTAGTCTTTTAGCCGTATAAATAAGTTTTAGTGATGGTGCCAAAAAGGAAAAAAGGATTTATGGAATAAAATATGGGAGGCATCCAGTGAAAGTGAGGTATCTTCTAAGCACTTTTCCTGATAGATATAGTTGGTAAAATTAACGAAATTACTGATTTTTACTTACATCGAATTGCTGTGACTATCATCTTGAATTGAATATGAAGAGGAACGGAGAAGAATATCATCGAGATCAGCAGATACTCTGAAATGATTTAAACGATAATGAATATCGAAGCAAACAGAATCATGAAGCTATTAATTTTCTAAAAATGCTCCAGTTTCTAGTTGAGCTCATTCTGCTGCCGGATTAGAAAAGTTTTGTCAGCGATTCATTTGACAATATAAGTACAATTGAGCAATCCGGCATCGCCTGGATCTTTGAAAATCAAGCTTACCAGAAATAGAGCATTGGCGCTGAAGTTTGTAGCGCACTGAGCGATACCGCATGAAACCCCATTGTTAAACTTATTGCTTTTTTGCTATCTACTTTATAATTTATAATAGAAATAGATAAAAATATGATAAATATGAAACGAACTTTTTAATTAATGTAGCATCGTCATTAATTGTGGTATTTTCTTTGTCATAATACGGAATTTCGTCCTAAAAATTATTTTCTTGAAATTCGAAAAAATTTTTAACAAAAAATTTTTCCCATAAAATTAAATCGATTTTTGATATTTTAATTTTATTATTATTTAAATGATTAACTTTTCATGAGAATTTTGATGAAAAGTAAATAAAGTAATGAAAGATAAATCTTGATAGCAAGGGAATCTCCTTAAAAGCATTCATTCATTTTAATTCATCTAAAGGAAATGGAAAAAGCCAAATGAATAGATTTATTGGGACTTTAAAAGTTTCACATAGAGTATTTGTACTGAATTTTAAATTTGAAATCATATAATTATCTTATAATCCTGTATTTCTCATTTTTAAGGGATTCTTAAGTGGCTAAATGGCCTATGGTCTCCTTGAAAAAGTTAGGGAAAAAAATTTATAACTCAATTTTCACTAACCTCTAAATGAAATTTAGAAATCGCTTCAATAATAAATATATGCAATAAACCACAATAGTATTAGCAGTACCTGTGTCAACAAATATTACTTTTATTTTCACTATTTTATGCATCCATGAAAATTATTGTAACAAGCGGGGCCCAAAGGTTTCCCCAAAACTACCATATAGAACTATGGTGCAAGAAAAAAGATTAAGGAATTTTTTATGGGACAAAATTAAAAAATGAATATGAAAAAGAGCATAACAAATAATATAAGCTTAATTAGGCCAAAAAACAGCATATTATAGCCTGATTAGGCCAAAAAAAATTACTGAAATTATTACGAGAAAATTAAATTACAAAAAAAAATAAATTGAATCACCTTATTGTGATAATAAAAGAATTTTCTCGTTAGATTTTCAAGAAGTCGAGCTAAGCGTCTTCTCAATGAATTTTTCGTTTGATCGCTAAACTTAATTCTATTTTTTGTTCTTCCAGTACGACGTGGAATTATTACAGAAATACAGTCGACTGTGGATGAATCTGATGGGACTATTCCCATTGTTGACCTGCCGACCTTCGTTGACCTCCAATATGACCTTTCGAATGATAAACAGAATAGAGTTGATGATCCTTTTTTAGTATTCTCTAATTATTTTCCATACGAAGAAATGAATAAATTCATTCGAATTTCGCTCAAATATTCGAAGAAAATAGAAAAATAGGAAAAAATTCGAATGAACTACTTGCAAAAATTTCAATTAATTAACACAAATGAACGGATATAAATTTCGAACGAATCTGAAGATAACGATCAACTTGTTATGTGACGTATAACAACGAATGATAAGCGCTCAGTTCATATATAAATTTCAGTGGTACTACGTGTTCTATTAAGAATTATTTTTTTTGAAAATTTATTAGCATTTGGAAAATAAAAGCCAATTTTTATCGAAACAGTAATGCAATTCAGCCAAAACGTTTGCTATACAATACAACGTTTTTACAACGATACGAAAACTCCGATCGGTTGTAATTCTACAATCTCTCACTGAGAACGTATTAAATTTTAAGCTATTTATATGCTAATTACCGAAATAAATCTGTTCATTCGTCAATATTAATTTGATTTTAATTTAATTTCGAAAAAAACTATGAAATAAATAAATAAATTTTATAAGAGAATCTTAAATAGCTTCGAAATTTAGTTATTTACGATTTATGATTGCTAATTAGCATTTTCAAAAATAATCCTAAGGAAGATTTATATCTTATTTATATCACTAAAAAACACTGATCGACAGGATTTTTTAGCCTCGGGGAGATATCGAATTACTGAACACAACTTTCTAAAATCATATGTCCATTTTGGCATCAAAACATGGAGCCATAGATGGATTTCAGGAATTTGGATAGGAAAAAATTTTCCAAATGTTTATTTTCATCAACCTTCGATTGAAATTTAGCATTTTCTTGATTCATAGAAAAAAAACCATCGGAAATCATGATTGCTTTCATATCATATTTATTAATCGTTATTCTCATGTTATATTTTAAATATTTAACAATATTATTCAGAGAAGAGTACCACAGGTTTTGACAAGAGATTTAGGCTAACTTCATTAAACTGCTGAAGACTTTCTTAGAAGAAAATAGGGTTTAAAATTTTTAAATTCACAAATAAAAAATGTGATAAGAAAATTGCATGAAAATTAGCTTTTAAGAGATTAAATAAAGTGATAAGCAAAGATATAAATCATTTCAGAATATATCAATCATAGAAATTAGTAATTATTTAAGAAATTTCTTATTTTCTATTCTCCCTTTTCTTTAAATAGCAAATAGCAAAAGACGAAAATTTTCGACTGTAATAAATTTCATAAATGCGTTCATTTAGCAATATTTAAGGAAATTTATACATGAAATTTAGTAAATTATTACAATATTTAAACAAAAATACGAAGAAAATTTTTAAGTGGCCAAATGCAAACATAAAACACGAATAAGTAAGTCAGTGCAGCAATTTCTTTCTTTTTTCGTCTTTTCGAACTCTTTCGAACTATTTGCCATTTAATTAAGTAAACACTAAATTTACATTTACACATAATTAGTTATTCTTTTTAGTTCTAAAAATTTTTACAGCAAAATGTATAAATTAGCCATTCGTAAAGCTAATTCCTTTCATTTTTCGCCAAAATTAACACCATTTTTTTTTCGTCGATCGCTGAATTTTTTCAATTTTTTTTCTCGTTGGTTATCGTCGAGCTGCGAAATCGAAAATGCCTTTCTAATCGGATGACTTGAAATGCCGATTATAGGAAGGAAAAATTCGAGATCAGTAATAGTTGAATAATTAAGCTTTTAAAAAATTAAAGGCCTGAAAAAATTATGAAAAATTGGTGAAAATTGATGAAATGATTATTTTCCTAAGTAATTCGTTTAGTTAATATTTGCATTAAATTCGACTAAATGATTTTTTTTAGAGCTGTACCAGCAGTTTTTTTTTATCAGCTTTTTATCAACTAATATAATATCATGTGAGGATCATTTTTCAAATATTTTCCTAATATCTACGATTAGAATAAATTTAATCCGATATTCGATGGCCTTTTGTTATTTTTAAGAAGTCCTCTTAAGTGTCATATACAAAAATCGACCGCAATATTTTCTGCCTATTTGCTTGTCAAGATTTCGGTTTGTTTAAGATTTCATCAAGTAAATAGCATTAAATAATTGGATAAAGAAATGAAAAATGTACTGAAAACCTTATAATTTCAATATAATTCTTCCTTAATTATGCACAATAAATTTATTAAATTATAGAGAATTTATTTTATTTCAAAATAAATTTTTAGTTTTTCGAAATAAACGCGCTGATTCGAAGGAAAAATTCCAAGAATGATTGGATTTTGTATGAAAAATTATCGCAAAAAAAGGAGAAAAAAACACGATTATTCTCCTTTGAATGACCAATAATTTAGGGAATTTTGAACTATTTTCTCATTTTTGTTTTTGGCAATTTTTCGCGGTCTAATAAATTTGGCTTTCTGGTTATTTCATTGATAAAGCTTATTGATAAGGTCTTTATAGGTATGACTTGAGAAATAAAAGATAAAAATCGACAAAAAACAAAAAGAACTACTAAATACTTAAGAAAAACAGCTGTAACACCCGCTTGGCCTCTTACAATAGGGACAGCTGCGAAATCATATTATCTATTAGTATTTCCATAAACACGTGTTAAACAAATCGAAACAATAATTATTACTTCATAGAGGCGAAAAGTTGAACAATTAATTACGATAACAATTTTTTCCATGCGCGTAAAAAAGTTCGAAGGGTGAGGTGGAAGAGTAAAGTCAAGAAAACTTTTCCTGAGATGGGAAACTTAATAGATAAATTTGTTGCATTATAGGTGATAATATAGGCAGTTTTATCTCCCAGGTAGGTAGAATAAAAAGCAATAAAAAGCGAAAAAAAATTTTCGCAAATAGGTTAATCAGTCAGTTTCTGGTTAAGTATTTCCACTCGCCATATGGATATGACACTTTTCGCTAAGGGTTTCTTTACCTGGTGGCATAAATGCAGGTGAAATTCTGGTACCACGCTCATTTTTTAATGAAAGATTTGCCACTCTTAACAAAGTAAAAAACTCAAAAAGATGAAAAGCAAGAAAAACAATAAGTTACATTTTTCAAAAATTTCTTCAAATTAAAAAATTTTTTTTCTGAAAATCAACGATAAAATCGCTGCCAATACATTTGAATTCATCAAATATTGTTATTTTAGTGTAAAAATTTTTCAAATTTTTCGAGATCGAAAAGAATAATCACAGTTTAAATGAATAAAAAATAATGAAAGTGTTGAGGAGCGATCGACCTATTTCTCCGAGAAATTATGAACGAGTTTAAGTACTCACAAATTAAGGAATAAATACATAAATGAAAACCAATTAAATTTTTAAGGCTATCTTTTTTGCTTGAAACCTAACTGAAAATTGTTGATTTTCATACCGACTTAGCTATTTCTTTTTTCAAACAGTCCTCACCATTACTGGTTAGACTTATTCTGCTGGCTTCCGCTGGTTCCGCTGGCTGGCTGGCATATTCCGCTGGCACTAGACTAATATGCCAGGGAGTTTCCATGGCGATAGAAATATAGATGGGTGGCATTTTTATTTGGACAATTTTATTCCTGCGGAGAGTAAAACCTCAGTATCGGCACTCCCCATTCTATGCCCGCGTTTCTCTCATTTAGTTAATTTAAATATTAGATAAATATTAGATTACTTGAAAAGAGGAGGAATCGTATAAGAAAAACCTATCTTCAAAACGATGATCGTAAGAATAGCGTGGATAATGATCGATAAATTTATTGGTAATTAAAAGATAGAATAAGGGCTATTCGCGAATTGCATTTATTTTATTAAAGCTGGACAATAAGGCTCAACCAATGTGATAAATGGTCAGTGATTTATCTTGAAATGTCAAAAATTGCAATATATTATAATTTTTAGAAGAAAGAGCGATTCGCTTGGTTCAAAGATGCTCATTTAATTCACGCTTTTCCAGATCTATAAAAATATTATGCAAATCAACCGAATATTACGATATTTAAGCTGATAATTTAGGATTTGTATTGTTCATTATAAAATTTAAAAAATTAAAAAACCACAAAAATAAATAGAAAAAAAATAGTATCGTTTATAATTTCAAAGAAAAAATCGGTAAATGTAGAGAGTAGGATGGCTCACTGGGTTGTTGCTCAGTTCGGAGTACGAATATTGAGGTTCTACTCTCTGCAGAAATAACCACCTTTCCCAAAAATCCGGATTATATTAGCGACTCACCTATGGTAAGGTATTCACTGGTATATATTTGTATATATATATCTAGTGTGACAAGCGAAACGAGAACGAGTCTAACCAGTCTTGGTGATAGCTTTTAAAAAAAAAGTTATTTATGTAAATATATTATTTGGAAATGAAAGATCTCATATAATCAGCCATAATTAGCCATAAATTTGTTAAATTTATGGAATTAAAAATCGATATAGAAATTAGCGGTTTTAATCAATTAACATAATACATGAACAATGCCCCATATAAGTACCATCTTAAGGACTCATTTAAAATCCATTTTCTATGCATTTTAAATCTTTTTGGATTGGCTCATTGAAAATTTACAATTATTTCAGCAGAAATTTCCATAGAATTTGCTTAGAAAAATTATATCGACTGCATTGGTTTTAAGAAAGTACCAGACTAACTAGGTTCATTCTAGGCGCCCTTAACACCAGAATTAATTTCTTAAGGATCCATAAACGTAGATGAGGAAAAATTTTTTCTTTCATTTAAAAAGTGAAATTTAATACTTTCTTAAATTATAAATTTTTCTGTTGTTTTGCCAGTGAAAATAATTACTATCTACTACCTATAATCTTAATTGTCATCCCATCTACTTTATTAATTTTCTGCATTCAAAACCCAGTGCTGAGCGGCGATCTAAAGGCTTCGTCATGTCAAAAGGGCCTATTGAAGGGATCTATGGCGTGAAGAAAACCTTTAATTAGAAATGGCTATTTATCATGCAAATTTATTCACCAAATAATATTTAGGACAATAAACGACTGTTTTTTTGGCTTTTGCTTTGTGGTCGGCGAATGGTAAACTTATAATACCGAAGAAATAAAAAATTTGTTTATAAAAGGCTAATGGAATTATTTTTGTTAGCGAATCTTTAGTACCAAGAATATTACACTTTAAACGACAGATGATATATTTATTACCTTCAAGATATTATTTAAAATAGAAACCAACGGTTTATTTTTGGCCTGTATATGGTTGACTTGGGTTGAAGAAACTGTATGACCATCCCATTCATAATAGAATTGTTAAACTGTATGACCATCCACATCTCTTTATCAAAATTATATTAAAATCCCTTCTTTAAACGGATGAAACTAATGGATTTTCAAATTCGTATTGATAAGAAAATCAAAATGATAAAAATGAGATAAAAATGGCAAAATTGAAAGAGGACATACAATAAACTTATGCATTATAATAATTGTTAAATGTGGTAAAATTGATAAAAAGTTGATAAAAATTTCATGAAAAGAAATATATATTTTATTCAGTTCAGTTAGCATTTTGTTAATTGATTTTAATGGAAAAATCTGGATTTATCCAAGTGGAATAATTTATGTCAATAGCATCTCGTAAGTCTAGAAAAAAATCTTATTATTAATTTTTAATTAATTTAAATAAATTCGAAAAAAAATAAGAAATTACCGCCTAATGGCGATATCAATGAAGTTTATCTTAAAAGAGTTAAAAAAAGTTTTTGGGTGATTCCAAAGATGAAATATATTAAAATATGGGGAGGCCGTAGAAGAGTACGACGAACTCAATCTCTTTTCCCGGAACCTCACATCAGCAATAGTACCTCAAACATTATTATATTTTATAAGCGCCTTCTCAAACTACAAACAACTACAATTTGGTTTTATTTCTGTTAAATTAATCTACTTTAATTCTTCATTATTATTGATGCTTAAAGCTAATTTTTCTCGAATTTTATTTATTTTTCCTGCCCAAATCCCAAAAGTTTTCCTATTTCTATTATGAAAATTGGATGGATTCGCCCCCAAACTTTTAATTCTTCAAAAATAAATTAAACCCTCCCCACTGAACGACATCCCTAATTCCATTTATTTTATTAAAAGTGAAAAACAACGAGAAAAAAATTTACTCTTTCATTTTAATTCTATAAAGAAAAAACTATTTTAATAGGTGAGGGGAAGGATAAAGGAAAATCTGGCAATTTTAATCATAATGAGATATGAGATATGAATATGAATAAATTGATAAAATATTTATAAATTATATAAAATAAATTATGAAAGAATTGAAAAACTCGGATTAAATTTGGACATACAGTCTTCAGTGATGGAAACTGAAATATAGACGGTGGTCCTCCATTCATTTCTGTATGTATTTTTGGTGAATTACCAAGATCAGCATGGATTACTGGTTTTGTACGATAAACAGAAGATCGTGGTGACATTGGACCAACAGGTGAGCGTATGGGCGACTAAATTTCATATCCTTATCAAAAGGTGATTAAAGAAAGAAAAATTAATGGAAATATGAATGGCATAGGTTTCAAAACAACATAAATACGATACATAATAGGACAAACATCATAAAACCCATTTAATGACATATTTATACCTCACTTCGCTGTGGCATGCCACTTAGGGCACATGCAATTTGCAATAAGTTAGGGGCACCGGGCCGTTTCTCAAATTCAGATATTCTAGAAGCAACACTACCACTTGATGGCGCTGGAAAATTAGTCGAACTTCCAACTCGATTTCCAACTCGGTTTGCGTAACCAACACCTGAAAAGTTTCTAAGGAGATACTGGAATACTGGCTATATAACAGGATGGTCAATTGGTACTTTCAGTGAGGTTAAGCACCATAAGTTCCGCTCCTTCTCTTTATTTAGAATAGGCTTACCATTATAATTAACTCAAGTGCCTGGCTCCTTTGGCGGATTTATTTTAGTAGTTATTCGAGCCAGTTGAATTAGAAATAATGAATTAGAAAAAGAAAAAAAGAAAAGGATGAACTTACTACCACGTGGCTCAAAACCGGCTTGGATAAGTTGTTCACGAATATTATGCTTAGGCTTGGGATGTGGAAGGCCAGTTGGAGCATTGTAATTTGAACTGGTGTCACTTGTTGCATCCGGGCTCGGACTATGTGACTGGTCTGAAAAAACCAAAATAGAAATTAGATTATTATCCTTCTCATATAAATTTCACTTTTTTACGCGAATGTTCTCAACATTGTTTTTGTAAAAGGATTCCTATCCTTTCTTGCATAATATTCCTTACGCAGCATGACCGAGTCTATGAACCCCTTTTTAAATCCTAAAAGGTGCGTGCGTCCGAAGTGAACGATCGTATTAGGGTAATTAGATAATTAGGCGTACCTCGCAAATATGAGATGATATTTCCCCTAAAATCACTAGGAATTCAGAAGTAAAATAAATGCCTAAGCATAAGATGAATATATTGATAATTACATTTTTTCAGAGGTTGATTTAGTGTTGAGAGTTCATCAGTTGGAAATTTTTGACAACCACCGCTATGAGTCGATTTATTATATATAATATTATTGTGGCCAAGTTCTGCGACAGCACTATCTAAGGCTGAAAAATTCGGACCATTTTCATGCCTTCTTTGCTCTGTCGTTTCGAATCTCTTCGATATCTACAAATCTTGCTGTTAAAATACGTCATATGATCAAATTATAATCATTGGAAAAGATACGCACACCGAATCCATTTGGCATTGATGAATTTTGTGATAAGTGTCCAGGAAGTATTCGTTCATTTGTTCCTGAAGATTTTAAAGTTTCTTTTAAGAACTGAGCTTTCCGTTCTGCGAGCCTACTTCCATTGCTATGATAAGGAAATCGACCCTCATGATGCCGTCGTTCATCCACTGGCTCATGAAGCATCTCCAATCTTTGAGCGGCTGTCATTTGTAGCGGTGTACGCTGGGGCAAACCTACAAGAACGGCACTTTAAAATTTTCGAAATTTTATTCACTCTTCATTTCATTTCAAGAAATAAATAAAAAATAAAATAAATAAATAATTATAATAATAAATAAAAAATTCATTAATAATAAATAATAAATAAATAAAAATAATTATAAGAAGACCTGAATGATTCCGAACGATTTCCTCCCAGAAAGAACCCAATTCATGCCTAGGACCTGAATGCCGTAACTCAGGTGCTTCAGCAGCGCGCTTTTCAACAGCATTTTCTAACAAAGATTTTTGTCTGCAAATTAGAGCAAAAGTAATAGTTTGTCAAAATCCAGTTTGAGTTGAATTTTCCATTTAGGTTCAATCCGGCCAAGGAAGAATCGAACCTATGCGGTTTGCCTCTATGCATCGATATACACCGCTGAATCGTTTTCCTTTCCCGAATTAATTTGATAATTATTTGATTTATTATCTTATACTGTATAGCTCACCGAAAGCATTTTGTAAAATTACCTGTCGTTTAAGTCATTTGATCCACCAATGGTAATAGCACCATGACTAGCGGATTTTAAAAGTCCTCCTCGCGGTACTGTTCTTGACCCATTAGTCGTAAAATTAGTCGTAGAATATGAATTCACAGTTTCGTCGCATCTTTCTGCATTACCAAATTTATCGCGCATCGTCAAAAATGACGATTGCCATCCTTTGGTCGTTTTTGACATATCCGCTGTTGAAACGTCGCTTAATAAAGCATCCAAGCTGGAAATATCAATTCTGTGATCGAATAATTTATTCTTATCACGTTCGTCAACTAAATTCGATTGCGGTAGCTGATCGTAGATTGATCTATTCAATTGTTCGGAATCAAATCGAATTGGCCGAGTTGTTGTTGTTATAAGCGAATTATTATTATATTCTTTATATTGGTCGCCACAAATTTCTTTTTCTGATAAAAAACGTTCTTTTCCAGAATCAAAAAGTTGATTTTCTTGACTAATTACAGGAAATGTGTCGAAATATCGTAATGAATTATTATTTTGTTTCGGTAGACTAATTTCAACGATTGGATAATGACGACGTTGCTGTTGAAAGATGCGATCGTTTAAAGTTGGAAAATAAGTGAATCGTTCGACTTCTCGTTTATCAGTAGCTCGATAAACCTTAACATCGTTAACATTATTTACGTCAATCCAGTCAAATGCTTTTCACTTCTTAAACAAATCAAATTTCACAAATTATCTTTTTGAAAAAAAATTTTGAAAAAAAATTCTTCAGTACAAGATTATTAAATAATGAATTATGAATTGTTAAATAATGGATGAATCAGATTTACATCCCTATTTGCGAAACAAAAAGATTGTTGGCACCTAAGATAGGACCATTCGCTATAGTTAATAAAGATGCAATTGAATTAATTATTATTAATATTATTCACCTGCACCTTTCATGCATTGGAATTACTCAGAAAATAATACTGGGAATCCGCAAAGTCCCTTAGGTTAATAATTTTTAATATATCATGAATATATTATATATATTATAATATATATTTTCTAATATATTATATATTATTATATTATGAACGACATCATGTATTATGAATGTTTTTAAGAAGTATGTTCATCTATTATCATTCAGTTTTTTAAAAAAATTTCTTCATTTCAATTGTTCCAATAACAAAGAATGGGTAAATAATTTAAGGATTTTTTGTTCGATTTTCGAGAAGATTCAATCAACGATTACTTGTGGTTTTGTTACTTGTTGCTGTTGTTGTTTTGATTTCTGTTCGTCACGACAAGTATTAATAAAATTTGAATTTCTTACGAATCGATTATTATTTGATGGTATTGGAGTTGAAGTACGTGCAGGGCGTTGACTAAAGTCTGTAGAATCTGGAAGTGTGCAAGCTAAACTAAGAAAAATATTGTAACAAATTTGTTGAAAAATAAGATTCGCATTTTATCAACAAAAAGAGCTTTTTGAAGCTCTTCTACTGATTTTTGAAATTCTTCCTCGAAATTTCTGGATTATTCCGAAAATTTCGTAATGATAGAAATCATTCGCGGTTTGACTAGCTGCATGGGCTAATAGGATATTATCGCATCGCATTTTCCCTAGCCTACTGAATGCTTTGCTGCCTGTTGTCGTGGATCTCATGGCCAAATCATTCGATGATAATATTAAGCTTATTCGAAGAAGATAAAAATTAGGAAAAAAACAAAGACTGAGACGATTCTTCGATAGGCTTAGGATTAGAATCACTATGGAATTCAAAATTGGCCACCTAGAATTCTTAAGCGTGGCGTTTTGAGATGATCAGACCAGACACCAGCATCACTATAATATTTGAAAGTCAGATTTATTCCTATCGGAAGTGAAGCCCCCGCATCGACGATCCGAAATGAGAACAACAACCCACTTGAGCTATTCTAATCCTGTTGAAAGTTTAAGATTATTTGAATTATTTCATTCTAAATTTAATTTATATCACTATAACTGACAATTAATTGTTATATTTATGCAAAAAAAACTCACTTTCTCTTTCGTACGAAAAATTTTTTGATGATATTGACGAATGTGATCCGAATAGGGAATCAAATTCGTCTAGTGGATCGAAAACGATTTCGTTGAGATTTTTGGCGTTCGACCTATGACCTCGTTGATTATTCCCCTTTTCGTAGGCTGAATATAAACTTGAAGCGTCGTCGTGATGTTCTTCAACAATAAATAAAGAATTGTTGTCGTCAAATGATTTATTATTACCTGTAAGATTACTTTATTTTCACTGCATTATTTATTCTAACCTATCGAATGACACTTAGCTAATATCATTTAGTACACTTCACTTGCATATAATTTCTTTTTATCTATTTTAGAATAGAATAAATCTATGCTAAATTCAAATAATTTGCTTTATCTAAAAAATATTATTATCTTACCTATGAATTGTTCAGACGATAATAGAGAGGGATGATTTTGTTGACCGACCGGCAAAAGTCGCCTGGCTGTTTCGGCACGTGGCTTATAGACTGGAATAGAACGACTTAAACCCTGGTAGTGGGAATGAGAATTGGCGGAATCGGGTAATGTTGCCGCTTTGTAGAGATCAGGATGCAGAGAACTTGTCCTCGAAAAAACTGAAATTATTTTTTAATAGAACGCAAATAAGTAGGCTTAAGGCTTATAAAAGACTTTTTTCTCTTTAATTATGAATAAATATGAATAATTTCTACGAATTTCTTTGAATATTCAAGAAAATGTGCATGATAAATATGCATGTCTATAAGAATAACTTGAAAAATGTTGGTTTGCTATTGTTAAGCGAGATTTTTAAAATATAGATTGATCAGCGATTGATAAAGTTTAGAGAGCGTAAAAAGATGCAACTTTAGTCAATTTCAGGTTTGATCGGTAAAAATGCTTTTCAGCGAATGAAACCTGTTAAGCCAGAAATATTTAAACGATAAAAAGGAAGAAAATAATACGTTCTATGAAATGATAAATGATAAATGATAATTAATTTTGCTGTGAACCTAAACTTTATAAACTTTTTTATATCGTATGAAAGTATAAAATGGGCACTTACACCACTGGTTTGAAGAATCTGTTGCCAAAGTGTTTGTCGGGAGTGTGTATGATGAAAAATTATTTTTACTATTACTACTATTACTGCCGTTATTTGATAATGCAATACGATTTTCTGTAAATTCTCCCTTATTCTCGGCGCCAAATCGACGCAATTGACTCATCAAATTTGAATTTTTAACGAATTTACTTTGACTTTTTGTGGGCCTTAAATTAATAAAACTTGTTTTAATTAAGTCGTAAAAATTATAAAAATCTAAATTTTGGCTAAATTGAATTAATAAAAAAAATTGTAAAAGTAAATAAAAATTATTCTTGAAAATCTTATGGATTTGGATTTTATCAAATTATCAAATCTATCAATTAAATGACCCCATTTCGTAAATTTACTTCGCTTATCATTTAAATCACTCAAATTTTTTCACTTTTTTTTTCCTATTTTACTTTATAAAAAAAATTTTCTTCACCTATTTTTTGATGATTAACGAAAGCAATAGTGCTTAGCAAACATAATTTCGATAGGATAGCCTGCAAATCGGATTATTAAGAGGCGACTTCGTTAGGCTTCGCTAACAACGAATTTAATCAACAAATATTTTCTAGCTAAATGAACGATACTTTTTTTTTTAGTACCCTCACCATTACTGGTTAGATTCACTTTGCTGGCTTATCGCATTGGAGTCCAAGGAGTCCCTTAGCGATAAAAATACAAGTGAGTCGCCAGCATCACGTTTACCTGGAGTAAAACCTCACTATCGGCACTCCGAATTGAACAATAGCCCACTATATACACCAAAAATCAACGACAGTACCTTTTAAATATCATAAACTATGAAATAAAAAAATCATTTTTAGGAAAAGAATATTTTTATGAAAAATTCGATTATTCCTTTATATAACAAAAAATCGAAGAAATTTTTGTAATGCTAAACTGGAAATTTGAAAGGCTTCGAATAAAAACAAAGGAAAAAAAGTACTTATTGACAAGAAATTTTACTGCTTGGCTCGATTTATTTTTGAGTTATCAGTGCGAAAATTATTCAGAAGATCAGAAGATTGAATTGAACGTTGTGCAAATCATTATTGTAGAAAGAATGGAATGTATGAACTGTTAATTCTTTTGCTGAAGAGAGGCGATTTAATCCTTTCAACTAGTTTTCCATATAGTCAAACAAGTGTGAATTATATAGAAAACTGAAAAACTCAAGTGCCAATTTGAATATCTTGAAGGAATGAATTTCACCAAGAAAAAACCTATAAAATTCAGGAAAATGAAATATTTCATAAATGGAAAAAAAGATGGAATTTAAACCGGAAAATCTTTAAAAATTTTTCAATGAAATTTTCCAATGGAAAGAATTTTCTGTTTATTCCTCAATAAGATAAATTTAAAATAGAAAAAAAATTTAAAAATAGAAAAATTTTAAATTCAGTTCAGCATATAAATATATATAATGATAGGTGGTGAGAGGACCGTCCATAACCTTGAGTCCTCCAATAGAACTCTAAGAGATTCGGAATGTGCTCCCTTCAGCAATCCAAAAAGAATATACATATATATATATATATTTTATAAAAAAAAAGAAGTGAAGAAAGATTTCTGTGGATCAATCTTTGAAAAAATATCATCGCAACTGGAAAAAAGTGGTTATCATTATCAGAATTATCAAAAATCTCTTTTATCTTAATATTTAAAAGGATATTTCCTTCAAAAATATTCCCATTCTAGCTGTTTGTTCACCTATCTTATCATTGCCTTACCAATATCAATAATTCTTTATCGCTCAAAGCCATTATCATCAAAAGTTTTCTTCAGATTTATGAAAAAAATTTTTCAATGAATTTCAATATCCGAGGTACATTAATTGTGATATTAAATTGTGATATTGTCAATGATAAATTGTGCATTAAACACAATCGCAAAGCTTGTGTATATCAGTGCATTAGTTGATAAAGGATAATAATATTATCAACACGAAGGAAATTTAATATTAGAAATTTAATATTCAGAAAGGCATATTTATAAATATATAAAACAATTTTATTAATTCTGTTTAGATTCTATTCATTGTAACGATTCTTATTTATAATAATAAAAAATTTACACAAATTTGAGCAGTAAACAGAATTGTTTCTCGGGTTCGGGAAATGCAATTGCTCGCACCTTCTACCGCAATACAAAAGTGTAAAAATGAAACGACCATAATTTATCTAATACACCAAAAGTCTAAGCTTTATTACCAATTTCTTTCTCTTCTTTAAAATTTTATTTTCAAATGTTTTTTAAAAATTTATCGATGAAAAATTTTCACAATGAAATTATGAATGAGCCTTGTCATAGTTTCATTTCAGACGAATAATTCTTGATAAATTTCATAGGAGAAAGTAAAAAACATGAAAATATCAAAGGAAAAAACAAAAAAACCCATTTTATTTTACGGATAATCTGTGAAAAAATTTTCACTAGCTGGCTTTAGTTACTAGTATTACGATTTCAAAAGAGATTGAGAGATCTAAGCCCTAAATTCATAATGCTGGAAGGAGAGCAGAACAGAGCTACCGGCCGGAATTTGATTTTCTAACAATCTAAAAGAATTATAGTTCGGTTTTAAAATTTTACTCTTGATAAAAAAGATAATTTAGATAAAGAAAAAATGAAAAGATAAAAGATAATTTAGAACCATAATTAAATTTTGAAATCTTTAAAAATGGTTGATTCACAAATTTTGCCAACTTTCCAAGTAATGCGATAACCTAAGAATGAGAAACCGAGCCTAAAAGCACAGAAATTCGTCATATTCATTGCTAATAGAATTGGTGAAAAAGTCAAAACCAAGAGGTCGAATTTTTTCAAATTTCCACT